GGGCATTTCAGCCCAGCTGGAGCAGCTGCTGTCTGAGGTAGGCCCAGGCACACCACAGGAAGGGGCTGCTCCAATTGAGCTGGAGCAGGCTTGGGCACACTGCAGGCAGGGCCTGTTCTGGCCAGGATGGAGCAGTCCCTGCCTGCGGGAGGCAGGGGCCACTGCAGCCCAGCCCCGGTCGGTGGGAGGACCATGTCAGCCCACCTAGGCAGGAGTGACTTCCCTGTCCCCCTTTAATTGGGTAACCGGTCAAACAGTATGGCTAACCGGTTAAACAGTATGGTTAAACAGTCAACCAATTGAATGGAATCTTGCATCCCTGCAATGATATGGGTGCATAATTGGTTTGGAAGATAGAATTATAATTCAAAGTGATCTGGACAAACTGGGGAAATGGTCTGAGGTAAATAGGATGGCATTCAATAAGGATAAATGCAAATACAGGCAGTCCCCGGGTTACATACAAGATAGGGACTGTAGGTTTGTTCTTAAGTTGAATTTGTATGTAAGTCGGAACTGGTACATATTGTAGGGGAAACTCTAGCCAAACATTTCTCCAGAGCTCAGTTTTATTCTCCCACACCTCACTTCCCTCAGTCCTTTATTCTCAAGCTGAGGTGTCTGCTGAGAAAAGCCGCTCCGCGTCTCTCTGGTCTGCTGGGGGAAGCAGCTAGTGCGGGGTTGTCTCACCCCGTTTGTAAGTAGGGATCCGATGTAAGTCGGATCCATGTAACCCGGGGACTGCCTGTACTCCATTTAGGAACGAACAGTCAGTTGCACACACACAAATTTGGAAGCAACTACCTAGGGAAGAGTACTACAGAAAGGGATCCAGAAGTCATCGCGAACCACAAGCTAAATATGAGTCAACAGTGTAACACTGTTGCAAAAAAAGCAAACATAATTTTGGGATGGATTACCAGCAGTGTTGTAAGCAGGACAGAAGAAGTAATTCCTGTACTCCATGCTGATTATGCTTCAACTGGAATATTTGTACAGTTTTGGGCACCACATTTCAGGGCCGAAAATCTAGTTGGAAAAAAATACAGAGAAGAGCAACAAAAATGATTAAAGGTCTAGAAAACATGACCGAAGAGGAAAGGTGGAAAGAATTCGGTTTGTTTATTTTGGAAAAGAGAAGACTGTTAATAGGAGAAGAGGGAAAAATTATTATCAAAGGTTAAGGAGAATAGGACAAGAAGCAATGGGTTTCAATTGCAGCAAAGAAGGTTTAGATTAGATTTTAAGAGAAACTTCCTAACTGTCAGGGTGGTTAATCACTGGACTAAATTGTGTAGGGAGCTTGTGGAATCTCCATTATTGAAAATATTTAAGATCGGGTTAGACAAACATCTGTCAGGGAAGGCCTAGATAGTGCTTGGTCCTGCCTTGAGTGTAGAAGATTAGACTTGATTATTTTTTTGAGATTCCTTCCATTTCTATGACTCTCTGACTATAAACGTTTTCTTTGTTAAATAGGTTTTTCATATTTTTTTCCTGCCAAAGGTTGCTCACGAAACAGATGTCAGAGCTCAGATTCGACTGCAGTTTCGTGATGTTAATGGAGAGCTTGTAGCTGTCCAGCGATCCATGGTTTGTACTCAGAAAGGCAAGAAAACCGAATTTAAAACTCTTGAAGGTGTCATTACTCGAACAAAGTACGTTTTAGATTTTTTAAAATATTGCCTCATAGTATGAGTGTCCATATGTTTTGTAACATGGTAATTTGTCCATTTAAACCTCCACCTCCTCTTCAGATTAAATTAAGTATAAAAAAAAGTTACACGTTATCTCACTTCATTGTTTGTTTTATGTGTTACAAGAAATCTGTAGATTAATGGGTAAAACTTTCAAACTGGCCAAGTCTTATTAATTTTTCAGTGGATTTAGATTCCTAACTCATTCAGTGATAATTTAGTTGTGATTTTTATGCACTATATTCACTTTGTTCTATTGGCATTGATGAAGTCAATGTAATTAGATGGAAAAGTAGTTCCCTTGCAATTCATTCAAGTATCTAATTTATTCGACTCTCATCTCTGACATTTTTTTAAACGAGTATTTATTTTTCATTAATCACTATGGTTTTTGCTCCCTCTGCTGGCTGTGCAGTCACAGTTAGAAAACTAGTGCTAAATACATGGCTAACATTACAGTAAGTTATAGAAAGATGGCTTTAAATCAAAGTAATGCTGTATCGAAATATTTGGAAATGGTTATTTAGAGTTAAATGGAAGAGAATGAGGCTATGTCTAGACTGCAAGCCTCTTTCGAAAGAGGCTCTTTCGAAAGATACTTTCGAAAGAGCCTCTTTCTAAAGAGAGCGTCTAGACTGCACGCGGAATTTCGAAAAAGCAAGCCGCTTTTTTGAAAGAAAGCACCCAGTGAGTCTGGATGCTCTCTTTCTAAAAAGCCTGTTTGCTTTCAAGAACGCCTTCTTTCGAAAGAGCACTTTCGAAAGAAGGCGTTCTTCCTCGTGGAATTAGGTTTACCACCGTCGAAAGAAAAGCCGCATTCTTTCAATTTAATTTCGAAAGAACGCGGCTGCAGTCTAGACGCAGGTGAAGTTTTTTCGAAAAAAGGCTACTTTTTTTCGAAAAAACCCCTGAGTCTGGACACGGCCTGAGAGAATAATGAGGGGCAAAACATTTACCAGGGTTTAGCACCTAAACAGGTGTGCTTAGAATATTAAAATTATACAGGATATTAGTTAGTTATTTTTTTTAAAAACTGTGTACAGCGTCCACTCGTCATTTTATTGTTTTGCATTTTCTTAATCTATGTACACAGGCATGGGGAGAAGGTCAGTCTCAGTTCCAAGTGTGCAGAAATTGATCGAGAGATGATCAGCGCCCTTGGTGTTTCCAAATCCGTGATTAATAATGTAATATTCTGTCATCAAGAAGAATCCAACTGGCCCTTAAGTGAGGGAAGGGCCCTAAAACAAAAATTTGATGAGATCTTCTCAGCAACAAGGTTTATTTCTTCCCATAATTAAAATAATTACAGTAAAATATTCCTTTCAGGAATTATAATTGTTTAAATGCTCATTATAAATGTTCATTTTAAAGTGTTGATTTCATTCATAAAACTGCATGTGCCTATACAATTTGAAATGTACACGTGGTTTTCTTTTTGAAAGGTATATTAAAGCACTGGAAACACTTCGTCAGGTACGTCAAAAGCAAACCTTGAGAGTAAAAGAGTGTCAGATGGAACTGAGATATCTAAAACAAAATAAAGAAAAAGCACGTGAAATTCAAGATCAACTTAGCAATAGGGAAGCTCAACTGGCTGCTTCTAAGGAAAATGTAAAATCTATTGAGAATCAACTTGAGCCTCTAAAGGTAAATTTGTTGGTATGATCATGTAATTCAAGATTTTACTGTAATCCTGTACATATTTACTAGGAGAGGCAGAGTGAAGGTTCCTTGTTATGGCAATTTCCTGACTTCTGTGTGATTTAAAAATCTCTCAAACTGAATGTTGTATTATCAGGGGATATCTTTTGATTTAACTACAAATCTTACAGGATATTTTCATCATAAATAATGAAATAGTGAGTAGAATTTATATTCAAAGATGTAGTGGAAATTATCTAATTTTATCTTCACAGAATTTTGGACCAATTTATTTTTTCTTTTATTTAAATTAGTTTACTTCCAATTGGGGGATTTTCAGGTCAGCCTTGAAAGCAACATGTATCTTTCCTCTGTTATGCTCTCAGTTTAGTTAAGAAAACTTTTGGAAAAATGCAATTTTCAATATTTATTCAACAGTTTATTTTGGAAGATAGATTATATTACAGTAAAACCTGTGTTATCCGGCACGCTCGGGGATTAGGGCGTTCTGGTTATCTAAAAATTCTGTTTATCTGAGGGTCCCATCAACCTAGGAAAAACCAATGGACAATAATAATAAAACTCAAGTTTTTAATATTGGTAGTTTTGTAGTGGGAGGCAGTTGGTCTCACATTTCTATTCTGAGTTAAAGATGATTAGTACTTCTTAAATAAAAAATTGTTATGCCAATCATGGTAAGCCAAGTCAGGCCTGTATGCCTGCAGATGTGACAGTATAGTGGCTAGGGGCAATGCTGGTTAACAGAGTGCCGGATAATAAAGGTTTCACTGTATCTGTTTGATTTTACAGGATGGCACATTTTCATATTACCTTTACCTCCAAGTATTATATTACAACTTGAATATACTGTCAGAAATGGGGAGAAAAGCACCTTTACAGAGCCCTCCCTTGCCTCTACGTAAATAATACCTAGTGTCTGTATTTACTTTTACACTTCTGTTTACCATGGTGCCATGACATATTCAATAACTACAACAAATTCTGATAAATAATAGCAATGCTTGTCCCTATAACTCTTCAATTAATAGTACTGTGCATGTTTTTTCTGGTATACCCTACCTACTGCAGTAGTTTTTAACCACTATGCAAAGTACTGACTGTTAACTATCTTTAAAAGAAGTTAAAATACATTAAATACATTGTTTATGTATTGTGTTGCATCTACATAGCACAAGCAAGTCAAGTGTATGAGTTTATGCACCTTAACCATGCAACTGCTAAGTACAGATCATTATTTTTCATGCAAATCCATGAGGGAATCAGGCATTCCTTGGCAGTGAGGGCAGCCAGTAAGTATGTGGCTTACATATTCTAAATGGCCACAGCAGGAAAGGAAGAAGTTACAGAAACCCTCCTTATCATCATTAGCAGCACATTTGATCACTTCATATCTGAAGTGTTTGAGCATCACTTCCATATCGGTGCACCTACCAAAATTCATTCCACGCTTTCATGAGAAAAATTATAGGGAATGTTGGGATGATCTGCTCTCAAATGTAGAAATAAAAGATAAGCTTTAATATGATTTGCTAATATTACTTTTCCATGTAAGTAATTACTGTAGTTGCTGCAAGAATGCTATCTCATCAGGAAGGGGAAGTGATCCACAAGATGCTATCTTGACTAATACGTGGGACATGGGGTGAAAATATTTGCGGACCCTTGTACTAGTATCTCAAACTCATTATGAACTTGTAGATGCTGGACATGATCCATGTTTTAAAATGCATTGTATTTAAATAGAAAATGTGATTATAAGATCCATAAACTGCAGTGAAGTCAATTTATTTTAGAATTCTTTCCTTTTCAGAACCGCCTGACAGAAATTGAACAGAATCTTGCAAAAGTAATGAGACTTGACAATGAGATTAAAGCTCTGGACAGCAGAAAAAGACAGATGGAAAAAGATAACCAGGATTTACAACAGAAGATGAAGAAGGTTTGCTTTATAAATCCTATGTGTTACCATCCTTCATTCTTTAAAAAAAAGCAATCATGCATTACAGATGAAAAATATATATGCTATAGAGTAAACATTAATTTTTAAAAAACTTGTATATCCATACCGAGAACAGTGCATTTTTATTTTGCTGGTTTTATTTTCCAAACATTTTTGACCACGGTTGTTGTAAGACTGGATGCAGAAAGATAGGAATGTTTTTAGTGTAATCCATGGAGTACTACTCTTCAGTAAATAATTCATTAACATTTTTATTAAAAAATCACCCCACTAATAAAGTCTCAATCCATAAAAATGGTTAAAATATGAACAGTCCCATTCAGTTCATTGGGACAATTCACAAGTGTTTTTCTGGATTGGGGGCAAAGTTTATAAAAGCTCAGTAAATAAAGTGCAGAGACACTATGAAAGATGGTGGCTATGGTTTTAAAATTGGCAAGTTTACTAAGAGTATTAAGCAGCTAAGTGTGGCAGACCCTCCAGATCAATACTGTTTTTATAATTAGTCGCCATTTGTTGATATCTTCAATCATGAAGATGCAATAGTTTGTTGCAGAATGGTAGTTAGGTAGCAGTACAGATATCCATAAATATTATTCTGCATGTATGATTTGAGAAATTTACAATGGCACTACAAAGTGAGCTGTCAGCATGCTACAGCTTTTACAGTAAAGAGCAGCTAGACAGCCATATGTATTAAGGAGCAGCCACCATTACCAATACAGCATCTAAAAATAAATGGTTTAAATATAGTAAATGCAGTGCCATGAAGGTGTATTTCTTTTTGATTTAGTAGAAATATGGAGATTTAAACTGTTACTATTACCTTTCCCTCTCAGATCTACAAGTACAATGAACTGCTCAGTGTGCAGATGATTTTATAGAATAAGTGACTGATCATGTTTTATCAGTATGAAAAAGGGGAATCCCTTTATGGCACCCAGATAATTTTACTTAGGTCTTGTGACTTAACTCCTGCAGTAAGTAGTAGGAATGTAAAATCCCATTTAAATGGCTATGGGGCTGGAGCTCAGCTGCAGCTGCTCAGCTGGAGCAGCCCCTGCCTGCGCAGATGATTTTATAGAATAAGTGACTGATCATGTTTTATCAGTATGAAAAAGGGGAATCCCTTTATGGCACCCAGATAATTTTACTTAGGTCTTGTGACTTAACTCCTGCAGTAAGTAGTAGGAATGTAAAATCCCATTTAAATGGCTATGGGGCTGGAGCTCAGCTGCAGCTGCTCAGCTGGAGCAGCCCCTGCCTGCGGCAGTGAGCCACCAGACCAGCCCCTGCCCATGGCAGCCCCTGCCCATGGCAAACCAGTGCTTAGGGCGCCCCACAGGCAAGGGCTGCTCTGGTGTCCCAGTTGAAGAAGCCCCTGCCTATGGGGCACCTTGACCCACCACAGATAGAGGCTGCTCTAGCCAGGATGCTGGAGCAGCCCCTGCCCACAGCAGACCCCCCACCCCCACGAGGCAGGAGTAACCCCCTGTACAAAACAGGCGGGTAGCTGCTCCAGCCCCCACCAGTTAACGTTAACCAGTGCTTAGGGTACGTCTATTCAGCCTCTTTTGAACTAGCTCATTATTTCAAAATAGAGTTTGAAACAACAGGCTTGCTATTCCGATGTCCCTATAACCCTCGTTCCACGAGGGTAAAGGGATGTTTTGGAATAATGATTTATTTTGAAATTTCGGCACTGTGTAGATGGCGCCAAATTTCAAAATAAGCTATTTCAAATTTAGATCAATATAAGATACACAATTTGCGTAACTTACTGATTAAACTTCCACATCCTTAGTAAGTTTATTAAAGCTAACCCAAAATACCTTTTAGTGCTACAGTTTGAGTGGTCTTATGGTAATAATTACACATCTGGTTATATTTTATCCTTTATGATTTATTCTGTGTTTAACCTTTGGAAGATGCGTTGTATAGTTTATAAGCATGGACAACGTATTTTGTTATAAATCAAGTAAAGAACCTAACTTTTTAATGGGACAGTATACTCTGACTGCATAGGTTTTTCAAGGAACAGATGACCAACTAAGGGATATGTACCAGAACCATCAGAGAACAGTAAAAGAGAAGGAAAGGAGATTAACAGACTGTCAACATGAGCTGGATAGAGCAAGCAGAGAGTGTCAGAGATTCAACAGAGAGAAATCAGAATTACTTGTTGAACAAGGTACAATAGGCTCATTTAAAAAAAAATGCCAGAATCACCATCTCATATAATATAGACACTTGTAACAGGATGATTGACAGAATTTCTGTGTTTGAGTCAGATGAAAATATTGAAATTTAGTATATTTACTCAGTATTGTCTGCTTAGTGCAGCAAGTCTAAGTCTCAAATTTGAACTTTTGGTTACCTCTGACAATGAAAAAAAAGGTCATTAGTCTTCTCCACGGGATTTCAATTTTACACTTGCCCTTTTGACCAATAATATTGATGTTGGCATATTCATTCATTTATGGATTTTTTGCAGGAAAGGGGCCACTTTAGGTCACCAAGACGTAATTAGTCTAAATATTTACAAAGTATATGTTTGGTCTGTAAGCTGGGTGCATTAGCATGAGTCCTCCAGTTTGGAGGAATAGAAATGTCACTCATTTTAGTTAATGGATTTTAGCCAAGAAAATCATTAGGCAGGAAGTGAATGCAAGATATGTACTAAAAGGTGGAATTCAGACAGGTTGTATTTCATGTGATTTCTCTAAAATTCCCTAAATACCAAGTATCTTGTTCTGTACAGCTTATCAATTATTTCAAGATACATACATTAATTGCAAATGTCATCAGTACAGTTATAATACCAATATAGGGTAGAATAGGTAATTATGATCTTTGGAAAGATTAAAAATCAGAACATAATTACTCAGTTAGTAAGAGCATGACCCTTTAAATCAGTGGTTCCTAAACTTTTCGGCATCATGCCCCCCTTTTTCATTTTTGAGAAACCCTCATGCCCAACCCCTCCCCCACCAAAATAGCAACAAAACTTGTTGACCAAAAAAAAAAAAAAAAGGAACTGAGCGGGGGGGAAGAAAGGCAAGAAACAAAAATAGCAGCAAAACTTGTTGAGAAAATGAAAAAAAGATTGCCCTGCCCTTTTAAGAACAGAGCAGGCATTTCCCTTTTAAGGTGGCCATTTTGAAATCTACCCCAGCCAGCCCGAGCTGCACCTGTTCCAATAGCCAAGCAGACAGATGGACTGGGCTCTTTCTTGACGATGGGAACTGATGGGGGGGGGGCTGGGTAGCCTCGTGCCCCCCTGGAATTTCTTCACACACCCTGAGGGGCATTCCCCCCCAGTTTTGGAACCCATGCTTTAAATAATGGACATTATTTTTGGTGTTGTGGTAATTAACCCTTTAAGTTCTGTGTTCTTAGTTCAGGTGATTACCAACATTTTAATACACATGGTTTGGAGAGAAGTTACTACTTTTCTACTTAAAACAATTTTTAAAACTATATACTGAATGTTATATGAATTTAGAAAGAAAAAACTGTAGCCGGCAATTTTAGTGTAATTTTCAGAAGTAATTTGAATTGGCTGTCTGATTAAGGTCACAAAATAGGCACTTGTAACAGAAAAGTAAAAATAATCTTAAATATTGGTGGCATCTTATAGCCTGCTGATCTGCCACTGCATTATTTTGTCCCACCAACTAGAGATGTGAAAGACTAGTTCACTATCCCATAAGCAAATGCTTATCAGATAGTTGATAAGCCTGTCAACTAGTTGCTCTGCCCCCTCCCCCCCCCACTTTGCTGCCTCTATCAGAAAGAGGCAGCAAGGGGGAGAGGAAAAGAGGGAGTACTTCAAACGGCAGCGCCACGTGGAGCCTGGGGTTGAGTTCCTCGCAGCATTTCAAAGCAGCAGTGCTGCGTAAAACCCGCGGTCAGCTGGGGACTGCCCTGCTTACCCCAGGCTCCGTGCAGCACTGACGCTTTGAAATGTTGCAGAGAACCTGACTCCAAGCTCCCACATCATTTCAAAGCAGCAGCACCGCAGGAAGCTTATCGTCAGTGGGGAGTACCCAGCTGACTCTGAGCTCCACCTGGTGCTTTCACCTTTAAAATGTAGCAACATAAATATCCTAGGGCAAAATAAATGGACTATTCGATTAGACAATTACCCGCAATTTAACATCCCTACCACTGACTAGCATTACCACATTTATAATAAATGGCTTTTTCTTAACTTGGTCTTAGAAAAACATTTTGTTTTTGAAGTTTTTAAAAAAAAATCTGTACAAAATGCAGACAGAGAACGCCAATGCCTTCTTTCGTTACAGAGCAAATAAAAGCTGTGATCTGCTATTAAGACTTACTAGTGCAAACTCTTCTGCCTTCAAGTCCAAATGTAGATCTTGTTGGAAGTCTGCAAATGGGGCCTAAAATAGGTGGATAATAAAATGTTGCAAAATGTGGGAACAATGGGAATGGCAATAGACTTTTTAAAAGGCATTGCCAGATGGGTTAGACACAACATTAAGTTTTAATGTTTTTTTATTAAAACGGGAATTTCCAAGACTATTTGTAAGTGTTTTCATGATATTTTTAAAAAAAGTCAGTTAATATTTTAATTTTCAAAGGGTAATATCAGACTTGAAATCTAGCTTTAAAAAGTAAAGTTAAGTGGTTTTAAATACTGCACGAGACAGCCATCCCACTTTTTGTTGATTCTGCAGTCACATTTTCCTATTTTAAAAAGTTGGAAGAGGTAATGAGTTCTCCCTTTGTGTTGTGTAAAAGGCCTTGCTGAGGAAACAAAATAAAGGTTCAGTCCTACAAACACACTCACAAGTAAATAAGCATAGTCCCACTGAGCTCATTTGGGGGGGGGGGGGGGGAGTGACAAAGTGCTGTCAGATGTGCAAAGTAAAAACCAAAAAAGAGAGACATTATTTTCTCTGTCAATTTTAGAATACTTATAAGTTTCTTGTAACCAAAGTGAATACAAACAAATTTCCAACAGAAATGAGTTGGACTTTCTGTTTGCTTGTTTTTAGTTTGTTTTTCAGTGTTATCCCCCTTATGAAACTGAAGTTACATAGGTTTAACATTAATCAGCTTAAAACTAATTTAGGAAAACAGTTCCTACAGATTGGGCTTCTCTTGTCCAGCACCCTCGGGACTTGACCAGTCCTGGATGAGGGAATTTTCTGGACAAAGGGAGGTGCTCACACCAGTCCCTTTAGCCTGCTGCCCCTCCCCGCTGCTGGCTCCTTCAGCTGGGCTGTCTGCGGGCCAGCCCCAGCCACAGCTCTCCTGCCAGCTAGGTAGCTCCAACCCCACTGCTGAACAGCACATTGTCCAATCAGGCTGTCGCAGCCCCAACCCCACTGCCGGACTGCCGCGGCCAGCTTCCCCCTCTAGGGCTGCTGTGGCCGCAGCCCTGGCCCCACTGCTGGGTGGCAGGCAGCCACAATCACGCTGCTACCACCACTGCCTGGGCTGCTGCAGCCCTGCCTCCTCCCAGGACCAGTTTCCCCTCTTGGGCTGCTATGGTCCCAGCCTTACTGCATTAGTAATATAAGAAATGACACTTATATCTTTTAAAAAAGACCTTTTAAGAGTCTCTTCAGCTAGAAACTGCTAAAATTCAGTAATTAATGCATGCAGTTAAAAAAAATTGAGTTAGAACCATTCCTTCCAAGTGATTTGCCATTGAATGTAATCACATATAAGTGACATAATATGTTCTTGATGTGTACAATTCTCAATGTGTAAACCTTGTGTATGTATATATGTGTAAAGGCCGTCTTCAGCTGCAAGCAGATCGTCACCAACAAGACATCAGAACCAGGGATTCATTAATCCAGACTTTGGCAGCACTGTTGGAATTAGATGGTTTTCAGCGAGCACCTTTTAATGAAAGGCAAATTAACAGTTTTCACAAGCTTGTGAAAGAGAGACAAGAAAGAGAAGTGGAAGCTGCCAGTCAGTTAATGGTAAGATTTTTTTCAGCTTAATGCATTCTCGTAATTAATTCTCATAATATCTGGTTTCATAATGCATGTGAATTGACAGCAAATTGTGTTCTTTATTCTTAGTCAAATGTTCACAAGGAATTTAGGTTACCATTATGGGCATGCTTATCTCCCAATTCCAATATTATACACACAGTTGTCAACAATTTTTACAGTATACTTGGTATTAGAAGATGTTTCTATCAGAAGGACACCTTATATTGTTTGGAGTTTTATTTTTTAATTACAGTTAGTTCTAATGTGGTGAAAAATCATTTAATAATTACATTTTCATTTCCCTAATGAAGGGACATTTTTTGTTGTTGTTTATACTGTGCCTAGCACAGTGGTATTCTGGCACATGATTGGGGCTCCTTGGTAGCATGGTAATACTAATAGTAATAAAAATAATTCTGTTTAACATGACTGTCTAGAATTGGTTGGAAAAATTCCTCACCTATGAAAAATTTTGGATCTTTGGGGAAAAAACAACAACTTTTATCCCCACACCAGGAGAAGTGAAATGGAATTTTTCAGTTTGCTCAAAAGACTGCCTAATTCCTGCAAGGATGTCTGACTCCTCAAAAGTATAGCTGTTTAGACTGCCCAGTTTAGGAATGCCCAGGCATCCCGGCATCCCAAGCTCTCTGCCAGGTGAACTGCTGACTAGCTAGGAAGTGGGTAGGTGAGCTAGTGAGAAAACAGGCTAAGTTTTTGTTGGAAGCCTACCTGGTTCTGTCAAAAGATTTGTGAATATCGACACACTCCTGAAAAATGGTTTGATTTCAATGACTCAGTATTTTCCAACAGAAAAATGTTTTGTGGAAAATTTCCAGCCAGATCTTTTATTGTTCCACAGTATTTCAATAGGTTGCATTAGACAGATGCCAATCTGGTCATAGTGGTCTGCTAATAGAGAAAAAAATGTTTATGTGGGGCTCTCTATAAAATAATTCACATGTAGATAAATGCTTAGTGACTCTTTTGGATGATTTCTTTGTTCAGAGAGAATTTACAGAAAAAGAAACAATGAAACAAAAGCAGATTGATGATATAAGAGATAAGAAAACTGGACTGGAAAAAACCATTGACCTGAAGTCAGACATTCAAAATAAGAAACAGCTTGAACTGAAGAATGTGAAATATGAACTGAATCAGTTGGAGGAGTCTTCAGACAGGATTCTGGAACTGGATCAGGAACTCATCAAGTCTGTAAGGTTTTATATTTGAATAATTTAAATAAATGCACAAGTGAAAGCATATTCAGTTGTCTTGATGCTTCTAGTCATATAAAGTATTGAAGATGTGGACATCAGTGACATAATGAAAAAACCTGTAAACCTATTTCATAATCTGTGAGAGTAAATTGTATTTTACTTGTAGGACTCAGGGACCAAAAAATTAATGACTTAAATATATAGGATGCTATGTTTTACACATTTACAAACTTATAACAAGCCATCCCTAAAGGCAAGTTATCTAATTGCTAACTCCTTACTTGTGCCTTTCTCGCAAAATGATTTATATTTGTTTGTTTGTACAGGTTGGATCTCCCTTGTCTGGCACCCTTGGGACCCAAACAGTCCTGAACCATAGAGTTTGCCAGACCACGGGAGGCCAGTGAGCCGCTGCTGACTCCCGGTCCTGAGCTCCCTCCCAGGCCATCAGCCTGCTCCCAGCCACCAGCCCCGGACACTAGGCTCTGTCCGATCCCACCGAACCTACAGCCACTGCTCAGCTGGGGCTCTCCAGGGCCAGGGCTCACCAGCAGTTCTCCTGCTGCTGGCTCAGCTGGGGCTCTCTGCCCTGCCCCCAGTCCTGCCTGGGCTCCCCATTCTATCACTGGCCTACCCGAGGCTTCTGACTCCCATGTGGTTCTTGCTCCCAGCTGCTGGGGCTCTTTGGTCCTACAACATCCATGGTCCTGCCAGATCACGATGTTGCCGGACCAGAAAATCCCAGATTTCAGAGGTTAAACCAGTAATTGAAGAATTTAACGTATCGTGGTATTTTTCCCCATAGTGTTTCCCTTTAAGAAAATCCTCAAGTATATTTTATTATTCAATGGATGCCAAAAAGCAAAGAATAAACTGGATACAGATAAAGCACATTGAAGCATGTTCTTTTGTATTAGCATTCATCAGTTTAGTAGATGAGCAACTGGGGAGGCTGTGCAGACTTTCTGGCATCTTAGCATCAGTGCCCTCTGCCTTGCTTACAGCCCTATTTCACACCCTTCATCCTTCTGTATTTAGTCTTTGCAGATTATGTAACTGTCATTCCTTTATCCACCGGAGTTATTGCTGTTGAATAATGAAAAGTACTCCCTTCTTAGTCTTTTGTTCCCTACTTGGCATAATTATAAATCACATTTTTAGAATAAATTCTTGGTTGATTTTATTTTTTCTGTTTAGGAACGTGAACTAGAGAAGACTGAGAAGAACAGCAGTGTTGAAGCTCTTGAATCAGAGGTACAAAAACTTCAAAATGAGAAAGCAGACGTGGATAAGGTTCTTCGGAAATTGGATCAGGAGATGGAACAGCTAAACTTGAATACCATGGCAATCACCCAAATGGATATGTTGAAAAAAGACAAAGTAGTGTATTTCTTTTTATTTTTCTAATATTACTTCATTATTAAGAAATTTACATGAAGGTAATATCTTTCACTGAGGCTTTATGAGGAGCAGTTATTTCTCAGGGTACGTCTACACTGCATGGCTATTTCAGGATATCAGAGATATCCCAAAATAGCTACCCCATGTCTGCACAAGCCACCTCTTATTTTGAAATATGTTTTGAAATAACAGGTGAGCTATTTCACCATCCCAGTAAACCTTGTTGCACAGGGATAAGGAATGGCGCGAAATAGCGTGTTATTTCAAAATTTGACACTGTGTATACGCACCAAATTTCAAAATAGTCTATTGTGAAATAGATTCAAAATAAGATACGCAATTTGTGTAGCGCAAGTTGCATATATTATTTCTAATTTAGGGTGCTGTGGAGATGTACCCTCAAAATCTTACATCATTAATTGGATAAAAAATCTGTGCCTTTGGGGGAGGGAAATGTAACTTTATAAGTACACTAAATAAAATAACAGTTTGTGAATATAAAGAAGTGTATTTTAAGAATATTTTGTTCTCCTAGGTGGACAAAGAGGAGCAGATCAGAAAAATAAAATCTAGACATACTGATCAATTGACCTTATTGCTGGGATATTTTCCTAACAAAAGACAGCTTGAGGACTGGCTTCATGCTAAAACTAGAGAGATTAATCAGACAAGAGACAAGCTTGCTCAGCTTAAGTAAGTATTAATTTACTCGATTCTGGCTTCAAAATTAATTTCTGAAGTTCATTTTGAAGTTAGAGAGTTTAATCCATTCTTTTGTTCCCTTGCTACAGTTATGTCTTGTTTGATTTACTATTGCTATTATTTATTGTTGCATTTAAAATTATTGCATACTGGCAGACTTACCCCATGTTGCCCAGGTCTTCAGAGCAGGGGACTGGCGCTGTGGGTGGGGAGCAGGGTTGTGGGGTTGGTGGAGGGTGCGAGAGTGAGGGTTGGGGCGCGAGGAGGGATTTAGAGAGGGAGGGGTCCCATCCAGCAAGGGCCTCAGATCTCTCCCCCACCACCACCACCACCCCCAGTCACCAGGGGCGTTTTCTCTCCCTGGCTCCCCCAGTCTCCAGGGACATTTTCTTTCCTTCCAGCCCCACTTGCCAGTTGCCAGTGGCGTTTTCTCTCCCTGCAGACCTCCTTCCCCTCCCAGCTGCCAGGGGCCAAGGCAGGGGGGCTCTTTACCTGGTGTGCTCGCAGGCAAGATGGTGAAGCCCCAGCTCTGCTGGACACTCCCTTGGTGGTACAACTGTCCCCAGTGGACACTGTACAGCAGGGCTCTTGGGTGGGATCCTTTGAACATGGTCTCCACTGGGAACACGCTCCACAATGGCGAAGAGTCTCCCAGGTGGGGTGAGCACTGAAACACTCAAGCAGATGGGCTGGCTGGAACAGATGGCTACAGGGGGTGCTTTGTATTCATGCCTGTCAGTGTGAAAGAAGCTATTTGCATATATTTGCATTTATATGCAGACACACTTAAGTTGCAGCTCTCGGCATGTGCTGTGAGTATCTTTGTGGCCCCCAGGACTTCCAAAGTTGAGTAGCTGTGCTCTACAGGATAGCTCTTTGTTGCGAGCTCGCTGCCCCTGGTGGCCCCCCTCATATCACATCCCTCCAAACAGCAGCCCCTCCCTCTGCATGTTATGGAAAACAGTCCTTTTCCCATGGCTTCTGATTATCCTGGCACAACCAAACTCTGACCTTGCTTTAAGTTAGGAGAAGATGAAACGTCATACCAAATTTCGTAGCCCTAGCTCGTACCGTTTAAGAAGAGTTCTTGTACAAACAGACCTGCAAACAGACACACAGACAGGCACACTCTAAAATAAATATGTGGATTTAAGATCAGAAGAGGCCATTATGCTAATCTGATCTTCTGCATAATACAGGCTAAAAACCTTACCCAGAAATCTCTATCAATCCCATAATTTCTGTTCGTAAAATTTTTGAGGCCTCAGTCCTTCAAGGGAGTACATATTGGCAAACCTCTTATGATGGGTCAAATCCAGTTTGAGACTCCATACAAGCATAAGGGTGCATCCATGCAGATCATGAGGTTGAACCTCTCTTGTCCGGCACCCTTGGGACCTGACCAATTCTGAACAAGAGAACTTTCCAGATCACAGAAGGTCAGTATTGTCTACCAGCATTACCAACACTTCCACTGCTTATAGGCCTGTTAGAGGACATTTAGGGGTAAATTAGAGCTAAACTACAGCACAGAATACTGAGAGCCAGGACTGGTGGCTGTAAGCAAACTTTATGCAACTGTAAGAAACTTGGCCACACATATGGTAAGTGGACATCCAGCAAACTAAAATCATTCTGGACTACAAATGTTTCTGGACCAGAGAGTTCTGACCTAGAGAGGTTCAACCTGTACAAGATATGGGACTCAGTGATACTGCAAATTCAGAAACAAGAAACACAATGATCAGCCCAGAACAGGGTCAGATTTAGAAAGGGGCATTATAGGTTGCAGTCCAGGGTGCTGGACTGCAGCAACTATAGCCCCTTCGTGCTTCCTTCCAGGCTGGCTCTGCCTGGAATGGTGGCGAAAGGGAGGTGCCAACACACTGCTGTTTATCTTCCCTTTCCTTACAATGATTCCATGACAAGCACTGCACTGGGGAGCTCTGTACTGGCGCTAGCCTTGCCTGCAGGCTCCGTTCTCCACATCTCCCATTTGCTGCGATTCCTGGCTAATGGAAACTAAGGAGACTGAGGCCTGCAAGCTAGTGCGGGCTGCACCATCACCAAATGGGATCTGCCCCAGGTAACTGCCCAGACCCCAACCTCCTACCTTAGCCCTCTGTACCCTAACTGCTCTCAGACCTACATCCCCAGCCCCTTCTCATACTCCAAATCCCAAACTCCCTTCCAGATTCCACACTCCAACCGTGAGCTCCCTTCCGCACCCAAACTCCTGCCCAGATCCTGCACCCCCAACCTCCTGCCGAGCCCACTTCCACACTCCCAATCCCTTAATTGCAGCCTTAAGCCTCCTGCACTTCAAATACCTCATCCCTAACCCAGAGCATACCAGACAGAGCCCTCAACCCTTCTCGCACTGCACCCACCCTCCTGCATCAGCATGCACCCCCCTCCTGTACACTGATCCCCTAATTTTTGGCTCCACTCTAGAGTCTAGGGGCTCCACAAAATCTAATAGTCCTCGGCCCCCTGAAAAGTTAATCCAGCCTGATCAAGAAATACACTCTTCTTGAAAAGAGTGACAATTTGAGTAGATTTTTCCCCCTTGTGGTCGTAGAATAATGTTTTATTCAATAATATAGATCTGAATTTTTATATTGGAAATATCCATGTACCAAGTATGTTGTGTAATGAACTTGAAGTTATATTCTTATAACTATTAGAAAGCAGTCTAATTTTAGGATTCCTAACAAAGATATTTTTTGCTTATGTAACTTAGCCCCTTCTCACAAGAATACTTAAGACAAAAGCCAGATCAACATATTTTTAGAAAATGGGTCAGTACACAAGTGGAGTTAACAACAATAAAAATGAAATTCAGATTTCATTTTTAGGAAGTAGTGACCATGGATTTATCATTTAGAAATGGTCTCTCAGAATAAGCTACAAACAAAAATGTATTGTTAGTAGACTTTTGAAGTGCAACATATTATCCCAGTATTCAAATTCGCATATAAATATTGTTATGTAATTCTTATAGTATTGAAATTATTCCGTATAGATTAGTTTTTCAGCCAAACTGACAGGAATTTGTCCAATATGAATTTCAGATTCGAGCTAACCTAATAATTTCTGGGCTATGATGGTTTGTAAACTTATTTTGGTGTCACTCTTTAATATAAGAATTTTCGTGTTCTTGTTTCAGCAAAGAACTCGTTTCAGCTGAACAAAATAAAAATCATGTCAGTATTGAGCTAAGAAAAAAAGAAGAGCAATTGTCCAGTTATGAAGACAAACTTTTTAATGTTTGTGGAAGTCAGGATTTTGATTGTGATCTATATAAACTTCAGGATGAAATTGAAAAGACTTCAAAGCAGCGAGGTATGTTTATGTATTATGTTTATGCTTATGAATTTCTTTACTTTCTTTTAAAACTCTTTTACATTTAAATTCCAGCTTTTGAGACCATAATACTGGCTGTTATATGCAATCCTTATTTTTATTTGTCATATGACCAGTAGTTAATATACATTTTGATATTAATCTGAAGGTGCCACGTTTAAGAATAAAATTATATTCAGTTTTCTTTAGTTTTATTTTTTTACTTATGTACTGCATGTAAACAGACATACAAATATTTTCTGTTCTTTTAAAGAATTTGCTACCTTATTACTTCATTCTTATAAATTTAGTAGTAACTACTTTGACATAGAAAATATGTAGGTTCTGATCCTGGATTGTGTCAAAGCTGGAGAATATTCCGCTACCTGGAACGGCCAGATATACAAACCAATGTAAACTAGCAGCTGCAGCGTAGCTAGTTGTGCCTAATATTAGCAGAAGAGTCTGGTAGTAGTCAAAGAAAATTACAGTCAATTTCACAATTCATTTATTTAACAGAGAGAAAGAACAATTAAAGATCAAATATTCCCTTGTTCTGTTAATTTCACAGATATCAGCTCTGTTTCCCTCTACAGGCAGTCCCCGGGTTACGTACAAGCTAGGGACTGTAGGTTTGTTCTTAAGTTGAATCTGTATGTAAGTCAGAACTGGCGTCCAGATTCAGCCGCTGTTGAAACTCATCAGTTTCAGCAGCGGCTGAATCTGGGCGCCAGTTCCGACTTACATACAGATTCAACTTAAGAACAAACCTACAGTCCCTAGCTTGTACGTAACCCGGGGACTGCCTGTAGAGGGAAACAGAGCTGATATCTGTGAAATTAACAGAACAAGGGAATATTTGATCTTTAATTGTTCTTTCTCTCTGTTAAATAAATGAATTGTGAAATTGACTGTAATTTTCTTTGACTACTACCAGACTCTTCTGCTAATATTAGGCACAACTAGCTACGCTGCAGCTGCTAGTTTACATTGGTTTGTATATCTGGCCGTTCCAGGTAGCGGAATATTCTCCAGCTTTGACACAATCCAGGATCAGAACCTACATATTTTCTATGTCAAAGTAGTTACTACTAAATTTATAAGAATGAAGTAATAAGGTAGCAAATTCTTTAAAAGAACAGAAAATATTTGTATGTCTGTTTACATGCAGTACATAAGTAAAAAAATAAAACTAAAGAAAACTGAATATAATTTTATTCTTAAACGTGGCACCTTCAGATTAATATCAAAATGTATATTAACTACTGGTCATATGACAAATAAAAATAAGGATTGCATATAACAGCCAGTATTATGGTCTCAAAAGCTGGAATTTAAATGTAAAAGAGTTTTCAAATTATTGTAGATTTGATTGTTCATTGCTTTAATTGACAAACTTCCATTTATTTTTTTTAAAGCTATGCTTGCTGGAGCTACAGCAGTTTATTCACAATTTATTACCCAGCTGACAGATGAGAACCAGTCATGTTGCCCAGTTTGTCAGAGGTTCTTTGAAACAGAGTCAGAACTTCAAGATGTAATTAGCGATCTGCAGTCCAAGTTACGTCTTGCTCCAGATAAACTGAAGTCAACAGAGTCTGAACTTAAAAGAAGAGAAAAGAAGCGTGATGAAATGATGGCACTTAAACCAATCAGGTAAGGTACCAAGCAGAGTATACTCCACCTCTTGTTACACACTTTTAAAAGGAAACATATTATCCTATTATTCCAAATGATGACAGTTCAAGTGCTTGTTCATGTGTATTTCAATTAGGTATGTGCAGATTGACATGCACAGTAGCTGAAATATGTTTTTCTCCTATCAGCTAGCTGTAAGATCAGCCCAGGTGCCCCCTGAAATGGTGCCAAAGCAACTCCTGTGTGAGTCACTAACTGGTACCCAGTATAGAGGCCTGCCATTCCAACCCCTCCTCAGTTCCTTCTTACCAGCAGTGATGTTAGCTGGAACTTCCCCTTGCTCGTCTCTTGCTTTCACAAGCAGTTGTAGATAAGTTTTAGTGTTAGTAGTTGTGTGTTTCGGTTACGGGAGTCCCTTCCTCCATTTTTCCTTCCGTCTCCAGAGCATGCCTCATTTTCCCAGTCTTCAAAATCTGCCAGTTGTGCACCAAGTGATTCCCACTCCTGTTTAAAGTGCCAGGGTAAGGGTAAACAGAAGGTCCACTGCAAGATTTGTCAGGAATTCTAACCAAGGACAAGTAAGGAAAGAGGGCAGCAGCTTAAAATTCTCCTTACGGAGATGGCACTCCTGCCACAGTTGGACCCCAGCACTGGAGACCTGGCACCTAGTACCACTTCCTCCATTAGGAGCACACAGTCAATGATATTGAAAAATGTGGCACTGAAGAAGGATGCAAACAGGGAGTGGCACCACCATGCAACTTCTTGGGAGCATTCCAGCCTATAGCACCAGTCTTCATTGCTGGTGCATGAAAAGAAAAGACCAGACAGGAGGTGATTTCCCTCTGCAAAAATGGGAGACCAGCCAGTATTGGCATCACAGATGGACCAGTGCTCTGAAATTTGAACTGAGGCTATGTTGACGCCTGTCCAGGGAAGGCAATCGAGTCTGGGCTAGCCGCAGTCACTGAGACCTTTGGAACACTTACCGCTCCCATCCATGCCAGAAGCTTTCCATGTGGTACAGGATTTGATGCACCACATGGCACTGTTCTCGCCTCCTAGACAAGACAGTGCTTCAGCACTGCCAGCTCCCTCCCAGCCCCCTGTGCAGTCCAAGGCAGAACTGGATATGGTGACACACTGGTCACAGTCCCCTTGGCAGAGGTCCATTGGATACCAACCATCTGGGAATTATAGTTGATCACCTGTTTCTTTCCGATCTGCCTCACAAGGAGCGGCTCCACCATATACCTACTTAGAGTTGGACTTGTGCCACTCCTGATGCAGTAGCAGCAGGAGATCATCCTCCTGCTCTGTGTAGTGTGCCTCACAGTGGCAGAACACCTTCCTCCCCCATCCCACAGTAGGGGCCCTTTTGGACAGTCTGGGTCTTCCATTAAGCTCAAGGCAGGAGCCAAGGGTCTTGCTCGGGAACAGCCTTGGTGGATTCTGCAACGTTTATTCCATCACATGCGTGACCTCAATTGCTGATTCTGGCACCAAGGGTGGCAGCGGTTCTGATCCCATTGGCACTAGAGACAATTAAGGCCCCTGCTTTGTTCTTGGGGACAGACATACAAGCCAACATTGACAATGATGATAACACGGGCACCAGCACTGACATCAGCTCTAATGCCATCACTGAAACAGTTGACCGCCAAGCCTAGAGCACTGCAAGACATGCAGGCACAATCTGCGGTGATTTCATTGGCACTAGCACCTTTACCATTCCCAGCACTCCATCCACTAGGCTTACCACCCGGGTTAAGGGATTCTTTTGGCCACGATGAGAGGGAATATCCTCCCCCCTTTGGTAGCCTCCTTCTCTTTCTCACCAGATGAGATCTTGTCTTGGTCCTCAGTAGCCCCAGCCCTGAAGAACTCCCGGATACTGCAGCAACTCTTACGTCACGTTGACCAGGATTGGGCATTAAAGTGAAGGAAATGGCTGATGAAACTGACCCTATGGTTGACATCCTAGTTTCCTCGGTCCCATCTAGACTTGTGCTGGCATTAATTGAAACAGTCATGGATATGACAAGGACCTTGTGGCAGACCCCAGCCACATTGCAACCTACAGCCAAGCTCTATGAGCACTGGTATTTCGTACTCTCCAAAGGGGATGAGTACTTTTTCTCATCCACAGTCTGATTGTCTGGTAGTAGATGCTGCCAACCAAAGAGAAACACAAGGTTTTCAGGGCCTGCCCAAAACAGGGGTGCCAAGAATTTAGACAGGTGGCCTTTAATTGTGCCTCACCAATCAGCAAGCCATCATCAATAGGTATGCCTATAATACCAGTTGGCAATGGCTACATTTACTGAGCTGCTCCCTTTGGACTTCAGTGCCAAGTTTTCGGCTTTGATCAAGGAGGAAAGGAGATTGATTTTCCAGGTAGCATTAGACTCAGCTGATGCACTATTAAGATCATAGCTACAGGGGTAGTCATGTGCCTGGGCTTATGGCTACAGGTATCAGGCCTCCTCTATGAGATCCAACAGACTATACAAGACCTCCTGTTTGAGGGAGAATCTCTTTTTGGAAAAAAACCAAGAGATTCAACAACCTCATGTCTGTAGTACCCTACATTGTGCGGCATGCCAGGCTCAGGCCACTTCAGTCATGGATGGCATCAATCTATCATCCAGCCTAGGACGATTTGGACAAGGTTATAACTCTGCCTCACCCAGTACTCGGTTCCTTCCTCTGGTGACTAAACCCGCAGGAGGGCTACTTATGGGTTCCTGTCACTCCTCCACAACCCATGTTGTCACTAATGATGGACGCATTGGACTTGGGATGAGGCACTCATTTGGAGGATCTCAAGACTCAAGGCCTCTGGTGTCAGGCCGACTTGACTCTCCACATCAACATCAAATGGTTAAGGGCATCATGCCGGGTGTGTCAAACCTTCTAGACTCACCTGTCAGGACATTGTGTATCAGTTATGATGGACAGTACACTAGAAATGTTCTATATCAACAAAGAGGGGGTGCATGCTCCTTTCCCCTGTGTCAAGAAACCTTTTTGCTGTGTAGAATGCTCAATTCTTCTGCAAACTTCCTACCTCCTGGGGTGCAAAAAAGCTGGTGGACCACCTCAGCAGGTTGTTTCATGGCCATGAGTGGTGCCAGATGTTTCCACATGTCACAAATTCTGTCTTCCAAAGGGGAGGCTTTCCTCAAATTGATATGTTCACCTTGTAACACAACAGGAAGTACCAATGGTTCTGCTCCTTGCAGGACCATAGCTCAGGCACCAGCACAAGGATGTTCTTTCTCCTGTAGGAAGGCAGCCTCCTGTACATTTCCCCACTCCTACCACTTGTACACACGTTTCTCCTCAAGATCCGGAGGGAATGAATTAAAGTCATATTGATTGCGCCAGCATAGCCCCATCAGCACTGGTATACATCTTTCTTTCCTACATGTCTGTAGAGACCCTGAACACCTTACCACTCTTCCCAGACCTTCTAATGCAGTGGGATCCCAATGGAGCAGCCGCGCTACTAGACCAACCCAGCAGCACCCGAGCTGCTCTGCCCCAGGCGTCCCCAAGTTAGCCGCTGCTGAAACTGACCAGCGGCTGACTAAGGGAGGCCGCGGCAGGGGTGCTCTGTCCCCCGCACTCCCTTGGGGACGCCTGGGGTTCTTAAGTTGAATCTGTATGTAAGTCGGAACTGGTGTCCAGATTCAGCCGCTTTTGAAACTGATCAGTTTCAGCAGCGGCTGAATCTGGATGCCAGTTCCGACTTACATACAGATTCAACTTAGGGACTGTAGGTTTGTTCTTATCTTGTACGTAACCCGGGGACTGCCTGTATATACAACATTTCTAATTAAATCTACACTTTTCTACACTACAAACTTTTCAAATCAGCAGGTTACAGATATTACAGGAAAAGTAACCCTGAAATATTTTATACAGAGCCAGTGAGGGTATGTAAAAGACACAACAAATAGGAGCAGCTACATGCTTAGCTATCTTTTTAGGCTGCAAATGTGAAGGGAAAGAACACATTTATACATCAGAAAGTACAATACCTGCTTTGGCCAGACTTTTAATCTGTCTTTCCAGACTGCAGAAACAAAGGGGGGAAAAAAACATGTTTAAAGGCAATGCCTATTGTGACTGACCCCTTACCACTATCCCAGACCCCTATTAAGTTTTACATATCCCAACAACCTATTAACATCCCTAATCTATCCCTGCATGTATTGAATTTTATCCCTTGACATTAGATATTTCATTAGATACTACTAATTGTTGACATCTTTGGAATTTACTAGATGGCACCAAATAGCAGTTAATGCTTAAAAAAATCACCAGGATGATCCTATACAAAGATTAATTCTCCTTGTGTCAAAATTAGCTGCATCATTTCAACTGGAAAAAAATGATCATGCAAGGCACTTTGAATTACTTTCCTTTTCTTCTCTTCCTGAAAGTAAAACCCAAAACAAAACTGAAAAAAATAAGGTTAGCATTCTTGTCAGTACATCAAATAGGGGTTGAGGAAAACACATGCATTTTGCAAAGAGAGAAAGGGTCGCCAGGCTCAAGAAGCTTTGGGAACTTGTTTTCTGTTATTAGCTCAGGGCTTAGTGGCTGAGAGAAAAAAAATAGACAATATAAAAAGCTGGGCTCCTTTTCCTTCACAAGATGGTAGTATTGCATGGTGGTTTTCTGTAAGATATGAGACTAGCATGAGCACATTGCTTTGATAAGTTTCCTTGGTTTTGAACTGACTTAGTTACTGTAGACTGATGAATGAGATGACCAGATGGTCAGGTTTCAGTAAGTGACAGTTTATGTAAAATAGTTCCATCTATTCCAATTTTAAATCCTAGCACAACTTACCCATTATATTGAGCTTAAGCTACTATTTTAAAAATGGTCAATTGTTGTTATAAATTTGTATTTTATATTAAGGCAGACCATAACTGAACTTAAAGAAAAAGACATACCAGACTTAAGAAACAAGCTACAGAATATAAATAGAGATATTCAGCGCCTAAAGAGCGATGTAGAAGAGCAGGATACTCTCTTAAATACTGTTATTCCTGAGGAGGAAAGTGCCAAAGCATGTTTACAAGACATAACACTTATGGAAAGGTACCAGGTAAGTTTACTAGACTTTTGAATGAATAACTCAACACTCTCTTAGTTATGCAGTCAGTCATTGTTCCTTGAAATTTTGGAGGATCTCAAAGCCAATATATCAAAAAAGAATTTAAAAAAATATATCAGACTTATCACAGGGTGATGATAATAATACAGTATATATTTGTATAGTGCCCTTAATTTCAGATGATCTAGAAGTGCTTTACAAACAATTCACAAGCATCCCTGAATTTTGTAGAATTCCATGGTGGAAGTAGGAAAGAGATCTTTTTTTCCTATGTTCTTCGGGCCTTCAAGTGGGAACAAAAACTTTTGGAAACTATGGAATAGTGACTGAACTATCCTTGAAAGCCCTAACCTTCTGCCACTGTATTCCAATTCTTCTTGCATCTGGGTTTCATACTGTGTGCCTCTCCAAATATTGTCCCTTTGCTATAGCGCCATTTGCCCCATAATTAAGTGAAAATACTCATGCAGCACAATGTTCCTTTTTAAAAAAACAACAAAAGCTGATATTTAGTTTCTGTTGTATCAAACTATGGCATTTTATTTAAAGAAGGTGTCAAATGTTCAGTTCAAAATAAATTATGCAATTTTGGAATTAGAGTTGTACCGTCTATAGTATAAACTCAATTTCTAATACACTAATATTAGTGTCTAATATTTAACTTTTTTCCTGTTACTTTCAGACTGATTTAAGGGATGTTGAACGAAAAATTGCCCAGCAGGGCACTAAACTGCAAGGAGTAGACTTAGGTCGAACTGTTCTACAAGTAAGCCAGGAAAAACAAGAAAAAAAACACCTATGGGATACAGGTAAATCATATAAGAAATCTGGTAGTTTCCCATTCCACAGCCTTAATGCATTTTAAATATTGAAGGTAACTTTTAAAAACTTATTTTATTAAAATCTCTGTTTTAAGGAAATCATATTTCAGGCATATGCACTGCTCATTTTTCATTGGACTATTTTGTATGTTATGATTATCATCTGATTCTAAGAGAAAGATTTCAGTTTTTGTAGACTAACAGGTTTTGGTTAATGTAAGATTGATTAAATGTGGAGTTTTTTTATTTTTATGCAGTTACTGGTAAAATTGAGCTAAATCAAAAACTTAAACAGGACCAACAGACTCAAATCCAGCAGCTAAAGAGCACAGTGAATGAACTTAAAGCAGAAAAGCTACAAATTTCCAGTAATATGCAGCGTCGACAACAACTGGAGGATCAGACTGTAGAATTATCCACTGAAGTTCAGTCTTTATACAGAGAGCTCAAAGTAAGAAAATCCAGTTGTAATACTTTTATTTTTGCAGAATACTTTTATTTTTGCAGAAGTATTGTTAAATATTGAATTTAAGTGGAGTTACACAGAGATTAATTTTGTTATAACATTATCAGTTATCGTGGAAACTTTTTTTTTAATTCCTACTTTTTATTTTGCCACCATATAAATTTAAGGTCCTATATTGCTTGCTTTGTCTCCATAGTAACAATTTCATTCCCATTGAAGAGAGAAACATTCTTACTTTAAAAAATTCCAATGACAGAAAGCCAATGTTCACATGGATGCATGTGTTATTTTCACAGTTTTACAAGCAATAACAGGAAATATTATCTAAGGTATTGAAAAAGTAAAGATAGATTTCTGATGGAAGTTAGGCATCTTGGGTTTTTTTTCTTTTCTTTCCAGGAAGCGAAGGATCAGCTATTTCCTTTGGAAGCAACTTCAGAAAAACTATATCTAATCAACAAAAAGAACACAAGTAACAAAGTAACACAAGAGAAGGTTAGACTACTTATCACACATTAGTGAAATGTATTTTGCTTAGGTTGGAATAGTAGAAATTCAGTCAATTAAAATGACACTTCTTAATGCAGAGGTGCAGGGCCTTTGTCATACAGAAATTTGCCTTGTTGAGGATTGTGGTGGATTTACAGAGTAGAAGATTAATGTGAAGCAAACTGTTAGATATGTGTGATTCTTTATTTAGAATTTATATTAATACCATTGCCAAGCCACCTGGCTACTTAACATTTCTGACAAGTAATTAAAATTGATAAACTGTAGTGATAAAATAAATAGTCTTGTTAGGAGAAAAAAAATTCTAACAATAAAAATAATTATGCATCTCTCTACTAGAAAATATACATTTTAATGTGTTTTGAAAAATGTGGTAATATGAGGTAAATTGGATTATACCTGGTTTTTAATAACTATATGGTTTCACAGTTAAGTAAGCGTTAGCTGTGATGATAATCTTCACTTTGAAAATGGTATTTAAAATTTGTGCAGTTCTGTGAAAAAACACACACACACACACACACCTTTTCTTTAGACTAAAACCTGTATTTCATTTGATAATTTTCCCACAGATAAATGAGATCAAAGAGAAAGCTAAAAATATCCATGACTATGTGAAAGTAATTGAGAACTATATTCAGGGAGGAAAAGAAGATTATAAAAAGGTAATTTTATAATAAACCTAAAAAATATTCTTAAACTTTATTTTTTACTAGAAGATTTACCTGGTAAATCTCAGATCCTTGTCAGTTTTTGTTTTTTGGAAAATAATATGAAAATGTACGTACTTCATTTAAATCATTGCTCTAGGGTTGGCCTATGGATCAGGAGCTCAGAGTGAGGAATGCAGCAAACTGTGTACTTCTACTTTGTCAGAGAGTGAGGGGAACAGCCAGCAATGTCCCCATACAAATCCCCGCCTTCTCTAAAGGGCACCTGGGTGGTTTTAGGTTCGAGTCTGGGGCAGTCCCATATGAGGGAGAAGGGCGCATCCCCATCCAGCCCCTTTCACCTGCCTAATGATTCTTTCTCTTTTCTGTATGGTTTTATGAGAAGCAATTCCATTCCAGGCACATCCTATTTTCTTGTCACGTCCAAACCCTTACCTTGTTTTAAGTTACGATAACAAGAAGCTGTATATCAAATGTGGTGATCCTATCTCTTACTGTTTAGGAGGAGTTCTTGAACAGATAAACTCAAATATATAGTAGATGAAACTAACAAAGTTTCCTTTTTCTATAGCAAAAAGAGTCTGAACTTGATGAAATAAAAACTCAACTAGCTGATTGTGAAAAACAGAAAGAAAAGATAAGTAAAGAGATGGGAACAATTAGACAAGACATTGATACTCAAAAGGTAGGTTCCTATTGGTCTTGGTTTATAATAGTGAGTATACTGAATGGTTAGGCCTTCATTATGTGACTGGGCCCAGCACTCATGCAGAGCTGCAATGACTCAGGAGCAGTGTTCCCTCTAAGATTTTCCATCCATAGCGGAGTAAGTATTGTCTTGTGCACCAATATTGAGGTCATGTGCGCTTGTTTGGATGTGTGCCATGGTGGCACCCAAGTTATTAACAAATATATTATAAATATTTTATAAACCTCTCCCTTTTCCCCTGTGCTGCAAGTCTCCCACTTTCCCCTACCCCCATCTGCTCCCCTGGTGCCTGCTGCTGCCCCTCACCCGTCTCTGCTGTTCTGGCTCCTGCCCTTCTCACTCCCCTCAGCCCTCCTGGGATCTGACCCCTTCCCCATCCTCTCTGACCCCTGCACTTGCCCTTCCCTCATGTGCCCACACCGCCACTAGCCCCACTCTGATCATTTGTAGTGGCCCCTCCCCTTCCCCTCTCCTAACACCTCCTTTTGCCCACCTGCCCTGCCTCTGCCCTCTGGTGCCCCTCTACTCCCCTCCCTGTGTCTGCTCTTTTGCTTTACCCTCACAATCCCCCTGGCACCTGCACCTTCCCTTACCCTGTGCACCCTCCTGGTGCCTTCCTCTTCCCTCACTGCTCCTGCCCTCCCAACACCTGCCCTTCTTGCCCTCTTCCTCCGTGGTGCCCACCCCCTCAGCACCCTCTTCCCCAATTCTCATTCCCCTCTCTGTCCTTCATCCTCTGCCTTCCTCATCCCCATCCCTTTTTTCAGCCCCTCTTCTCCTGGTATCCTCTCCTCCCCTCTCCTCTTCTTTCCTCTTCCCCCATTGTCCCTCCTCACAACACCCTGTCCCCTCCCTTCTCCCATTCCCACTGACAACTTCCCTCTCCCCTCTCCACTCCTTGTGCCATTTCCTCTCATTGTCTCCTCTTGGACCCCTAGCATTTGTCTCTCCTCCACCCTATCAGTTGGTGCCTTCCCCTTTCTTCTCTGCCCGGACTCCCTCCTCTTCCCTCAGCACAAGCCCCTTCCTCTCCTCACCCCCACCTTTCCCTTAGTTCTCCGCCTGCTCCTTCCACCTTTCTGACACCTGCACCCCTCAACCACTTGGTGCTGGAGAAGGGTAGCATGGTGAGCGGCTTCCCTGTATCCTGGGACTGGAACTGGGGTCATGATGCTATTTTTAATACCCTGGCCCTGGACCAGGAGTAGCTGCATTGTGTCCCGGCTTCAGTCCCAGCACACAGGGCAGCCGCCTGCCACACAGCCCCGCCCCAGGAGCAGGTTGGGCTGGGGCTTCATGGTAGCTTCTGGGGCTGGGACTGTGGTACTAAAAATAGCACCACAGCCTCGACTCCAGGCCCGGTACATGGGGTGCGGCCATGTGATGGACAGCTGCCCCGTGTGTCGGGACTGGAGCTGGGATTGCAGTGTAGCTACTCAGGTCAAGCAGCCACCTTGTGGCCCACCCTGCCATAGCTGCAGTCCTAGGGAAGGTGGCTGCCCAGCTGCTCCTAGGGCAGGGCAGCTGCCCATCCCGCCACCCTGCTCCAGTTGAGCAGCCACTGTGTAGGTCTGAAAGGAGATGGGCAGAACTCAAATTGTTGGCATACGCTCAAGTAGGCATGCACCTTAAAGGGAACTTAGCTCAGAAGTGATCCACACAGGCACAAGAGTATTTCCACATAGATCAATTTAAGAACATAAGAACAAGGCCAGGTAGGCAGGCAGAACTTCAGAGTCTCAATGCGTGGATGAGACGATGGTGTAGGGAGGAGGGGTTTAGATTTATTGGGAACTGGGGACACTTTTGGGAGAGGGGGAGCCTATACAGGAAGGATGGGCTCCACCTAAACCAAAGTGGATCCAGACTGCTGGCACTAAACATTAAAAAGGTCATAGAGCAGTTTTTAAACTAAGAGAGGGGGGAAAGCTGATTGGTGCGGAGGAGTACGTGGCTCAGATGGAGACTTCTCTTGGAGAGTCCATTGATGGAGATTCTCTAGGTTTTAGTCAGAAAGGGTATGTCTACACTACCATCCTAGTTCGAACTAGGGTGGTTAATGTAGTCAATCGAAGTTGCAAATGAAGCCCGGGATTTAAATATTCCGGGCTTCATTTGCATCTTGCCGGGCGCCGCCATTTTTAAATCCCCGGTAGTTCGGACACCATGCCCGCGGCTACACGAGGCACAGAGTAGGTAGTTAGAATTAGCCTAATTCAAACTACCTACTCCGTGCCCGCGCCTACACACGGCACGGAGTCCGAACTACCGGGGATTTAAAAAGGCGGCGCCCGGCAAGATGCAAATGAAGCCCAGGATATTTAAATCCCGGGCTTCATTTGCAACTTCGATTGACTCCATTCACGCAGGATCTGATCCAGGAGGTAACTATTACAGGACTGCTTGGGAATAGTGACCATATTATAATAACATTTAATATTCCTGTGGTGAGAAGAACACCTCAGCAGTCCAACACTCTGGCATTTAATTTCAAAAAGGGGATTTATGCAAAAATGAGGAGGTTAGTTAAACAGAAATTAAAAGATACAGTGACTAGAGTAAAATCCTTGCAAACTGCATGGAAACTTTTTAAAGACACCGTAATAGAGGCCCAACTTAAATGTATACCCCAAATTAAAAAACATATTAAGAGACCAAAAAAAGAGCCACCGTGGCTTAACAACCATTTAAAAGAAGCAGTGAGAGATAAAAAGGCATCTTTTAAAAAGTGGAAGTCCAATCCTAGTGAGGTAAATAGAAAGGAACATAAATACTACTAAATTAAGTGTATAAATGTAATAAGAAAAGCCAAAAAAGATTTTGAGGAACAGCTAGCCAAAAACTCAAAAAGTAAAAGCAAAATGTTTAAGTACATTAGAAGCAGGAAGCTTGCTTAAAAACCAGTGGGGCCCCTGGATGATCGGGATACAAAAGGAGAAATCAAGGACAATAAAGCCATTGCGGAGAGACTGAATGATTTCTTTTCTTCAGTCTTCAGTGCTGAGGATGTTAGGGAGATTCCCAAACCTGCACGGTCCTTTGTGGGTGATGAATGTGAGGAACTGTCCTGGATTGAAGTGTCAGTAGAGAAGGTTTTGGAACAAATTGAAAAACTTAATAGTAACAAATCACCGGGACCAGATGGCATTCACCCCAGGGTTCTGAAAGAACTCAAATGTGAATTTGTGGAACTATTAACTGTGGTTTCTAGCCTATCCTTTAAATCAGCTTCTGTACCCAAGGACTGGAAGACACCTAATATAATGCCAATATTTAAAAAGGGCTCTAGAGGCAACCCTGGCAAGTACAGACCGGTAAGTCTAATGTCAGTACTGGGCAAATTAGTTGAAACAATGGTAAAGAATAAAATTGTCAGACACATAAAAGAACATAATTTGTTGGGCAAAAGTCAACATGGTTTCTGTAAAGGGAAATCATCTCTTTCTAATCTATTAGAGTTCTTTGAAGGGTTTAACAAACATGTGGACAAGGGGGATCCAGTAGATATAGTATACTTAGATTTCCAGAAAGCCTTTGACAAGGTCCCTCACCAAAGGCTCTTGTATAAATTAGGTTGTCATGGGATGAGAGGGAAGATCCTTTCATGGATTGAGAACTGGTTAAAAGACAGGAAACAAAGGGTAGGAATAAATGGTACATTTTCAAAATGGAGAGGTGTAACTAGTGGTATTCCCCAAGGATCAGTCCTAGGACCAATCCTATTCAACTTATTCATAAACGATCTAGAGAAAGGGGTAAGCAGTGAGGTAGCAAAGTTTGCGGACAATACTAAACTGTTCAAGATAGTCAAGACCAAAGCAGACTGTGAAGAACTTCAAAAAAATCTCACCAAACTGAGTGATTGGGCAACAAAATGGTAAATGAAATGTAATGTGGATAAGTGTAAAGTAATGCACATTGGAAAAAATAACCCCAGCTACACATACAATATGATGGGGGGCTAATTTAGCTACAACTAATCAGGAAAGAGATCTTGGAGTTTTTATGGATAGTTCTCAGAAAATGTCCATGCAGTGTGCAAAAAAGCAAATAGGATGCTAGGAATTATTTAAAAAGGGATAGACAATAAGACGAAGAATATCTTACCGCCCCTATATAAAACTATGGTACGCCCACATCCTGAATATTGTGTACAGATGTGGTCTCCTCACCTCAAAAAAGATATTTTGGCATTATAAAATGTTCAGGAAAGAGCAACTAAAATGATTAGGGATTTGGAACAGGTTCCATATGAGAAGAGGCTAAAGAGACTGGGACTTTTCAGTTTAGAAAAGAGGAGACTGAGGAGACTGATATGATAGAGGTCTATAAAAACATAAGTGAATAAAGAACAGTTATTTACTTGTTTCCATAATATAAGAACTAGAGGACACCAAATGAAATTAATGGGTAGCAAGTTTAAAACTAATAAAAGAAAGTTCTTCTTCACACAGCGCAGAGTCAACCTGTGGAACTCCTTGTACTTGTTCCCATAATATAAGAACTAGAGGATACCAAATGACATTAATGGGTAGCAGATTTAAAACTAATAAAAGAAAGTTCTTCTTCACACAGCATACAGTCAACCTGTGGAACTCCTTGCCAGAGGGGCTGTGAAGGCTAGGACTATAACAGAGTTTAAAAAAGAGCTAGATAAATTCATGGAGGTTAGGTCAATTAAAGGCTATTAGCCAAGGGGTAAAAAATGGTGTTCCTAGCCTCTGTTTGTCAAAGGCTGGAGAAGGATGGCAGGAGACAAATTGCTTCATCATTGTCTTTGGTCCACCCCCTCCGGGGCACCTGGCACTGGCCACTGTCAGCAGACAGGATACTGGGCTAGATGGACTTTTGGTCTGACCCGGTATGGCCGTTCTTATGCTCTTGTATATATGTATTTGTATATCAAAAGAAAGGAGTTCCCATTCGAGTGTAGGACCAGTGTTAACGAGGCCAATTCAGTCAAGATGAATGTGGCTCACTAATCACTCCAAATCTTATTCAGTCCTCATTTGATTGTGTTACATTTGCAAATGAACTGCAGCTCTATTGTTTCTCTTTGTAGTCTGATTTTGAAGGTTTATGTTTTGTTTTTTGTAGAAGAATGGCTTACTTTAACCTCCCTGGACACTCAGTAATGGATTTAAAGTGCTTGCCTACTGGTTTATGTATATTAACTTTCTTGATGTCTGATTTGTGTCTATTTAATCCTTTGGCACAGAGACTGTTCATTTTGGCCAATATTCATGGCAGAGGGGCATTGCTGATATATGATGACATATATCATGGTAGTAGATGTGCAGATGGATGAGCCCCTGATGGTGTGGCTTATGTGGTTGGATTCTGTGATGGTGTCGCTTGTATAGATATGTGGACAGAGTCAGCAATGGGATTTGCCAGAGGGATAGGTTCCTGTGATAGTGTTTCTGTCGTGTGGAGTGTGTTTGATTATGAGTATTTGCTTCAGGTTGGGGCTCTGTCTGTAGGCAAGGACTAGCCTATCTCCCAAGGTCTGTGAGAGTGAGGGGTCATTTTCCAGAATAGGTTGTAGGATGCGCTGGAGGGGTTTTAGCTGGGGGCTGTAGGTTATAACCAGCAGTGGTCTGTTATTTTCCTTGTTGGCCTGTCCTGTAGTAGCTGACTTCTAGGTACTTTTCTGGCTCTTTCAATCTGTTTCTTTGCTTCCCCAGGTCGGTATTTTAGTTTTAAGAATTTTTTATAAAGATCTCGTAGGTGTTTGTTTCTGTCTAAGGGATTGGAACAGAGAGGGTTGTATCTTAGGATTTGGCTGTAGATAATGAATTGTGCGATGTATCGTGGATGGAAGCTAAAGACATGTAGGTAAGAATAGTGGTCAGTAGATTTCCAGTTTAGGGTGGTGTTTTTGTGACCATCTTTTATTTGTACTGTGACGTCCAGGAAGTGGATCTCCTATGTGGATTATTCCAGGCTGAGGTTGATAGTGGGGTGGAATTTTGGGTTTAAAGCCACCTAAGAATGAGGGCCCTTTAAGGAAATACAGAAATCAAGATATCAGAAGCCACTAGTCATTCTTGAACATGTTCATCAGCTTGTACTTGTGTTTTTTTTAATATTTGAAATACTTTGGTGATGTATTTATCAAATACTGTTTACATTCTCAAACATTAGATTGGATTTATCCCATTTTCCCCATCATATTATCTGTTTTATCAGAATAAAATATTACTGACACACCTAATTTTTGATTGGAAAGCAAAAATACAATTGGCATGTCTGATATTCTGTTATTAATTAATAATAATAATAATAATTGTAATAGACATTTTGAGGCATACATGGTTCATGGAAAATTTCTTCTAATATGATTTATCTCTCCAGAGCCATTGAATGGAGAAAATATTTCAAAGTAATCTAAGCTTTCATTTAGCTATTGAAAGTTATGGATTTTTGTAAAATCATATGGAATTCAAAAACGCATCTATCTGTTGGACCATTTGACTTTATTTGAATTTAGATTCAAGAAAGATGGCTAGAGGATAACCTTACATTAAGAAAAAGAAATGAAGAGCTAAAAGAAGTTGAAGAAGAACGAAAACAATATATGAAGGAGATGGGGGAAATGAAAGTTCCACAACTAAAAAAGTAGGGTTATTATTATTATTATTATTATTTTTTGATTTCTTAAATGTTGAGCAGGAGTCTTCAAAAAATTTAACCGCATCTTAACAAAGAGATTGTTTCATGAACCACTTTACTGTCCACTCACACAATCTACTTCCCCTCCACTATGTCATGTACAGCATAAACTAATTGTTTAAATTGAAAAGTGATGCTAATTAAAAGAACATTAAATATTTTTCTGTATATTTGTGTCATTTAGCACTTGGAAGTAAGAAGGAGGCAAGCAAGTTTTTTGGATTTTGGCCAGCAAATGTTCCAGAAAGTGTAGCTTTGAGGACTGCTGATTTACATAATCTCCAAAGGTCTAAAGTTACATGTACGCATAAATCCATTTGATGTTGGTGGGACTCCTCATGCAAGTAGTCAGTCATTCATGCATGTTTGCAGGATCAGTCCCCAATTTAATTATACAGGCAGTCCCCGAGTTACGAACGGGGCTTTTCTCGCCCTGGAGGACGGGAGCGGCGGGACGCCCACATGCGCCGCGGTCCGCCGCCCCCGTCCTCCGGGGCGAGAAAAGCTGCTCCCCGTCTCCCTG